AACCAACCAAATTCTCTCCGCATGAATTAGATGCACCTCACTTTTTGTAGTTGCCAATGCTAATATCTGCCGACACAAGATTTGATTCATATTGTGAGAGAACCATGCATTTTGAAATTTTCTACAATTTATTAAAATATGTTTTGATTATTATTTTTACTTGGATAAAAGAGACATTTTGTGGCTTACTATTTATAAAAAAAAATATATATATTAAATGAGTGGTTATTTAAAGAGTATGAAAATTTTCAATTGAAAAAGTAAAAAAAAAAATGAGATAAAAAAACTAAATAAAAAAAGACAAAGAATTAGAGGAATAGTAGTTTAAATTTTAGAGTAAAATGGAAGAAAACGGCAAAAAGGCCCATTTAAAAGTGGAAAAAAAATGTTTGTAAAAAAAAAGGATATTTCCTTTAAAATAATATTTGTTGGATAAAAATATTAAATATTTGACAAGTTTATTTATATATAGTCTTTACATATTTGACGAAAATGAATAAAGTTTTAAAAATGGAAAAGCATGATTTTATGGCCGGGTCATATCTAAATATCTTTTTTGTGATATTAGTTTCTTTTAAGATATAGCATTTTTCATGGAGAATTATTATGTGATCATCAACTTTAATTTGTTTGGCTTTCGTATGAGAGTCATAGCATACCATTTACAAAATGGCCCGGGAAATTTCAAACACAAAATGCATTATGCGTGAAACAAGTGCAATTTTATGTATAAATAGTTTTATAAGTTAAGTATTTAAAAATTGTTTGATATGATAGTTGAAATGATTATTACAAGAATTCAATTTAAATATATTGATAGTGCATTTTATTTTATATTTTCACTTAACTAGATATTTATTAGTCTACAAGTAAAATGTTTATTATAAACTAATATTTATAATAAATTATATATAAATAAATATTATGTTTGAATAAATAAATTATATTTAAAATTTGAATAAGTATATATTTTAAATATATAAATTATATTTTACATTTATGATATATAATTTATATTGTAGCACACAATTATTTTATGGATAATTTATTTTAAAATATTAAAATATCATTCATAAATAATTATGATAAATAAAATTGAATTAGATATGAAATTGAAAGAAAAAAATGTTAGATAAAAATCTAAAACCATTCTCTCACAATTTGTATTTTAATATAAGAGTTAATTATAAATTGTAATTACTACAAGAAAATTGTCTTGGGCGATCGACTTAAATTCTTACGAAAAGTTAGAAATTTATAAGTAAATATAATTATAGATATGATCTATCTATCTATTATATGAGTTATATAGTAACGACTTTATATGTTTTACTTGCAATAAATGATTGTAACTACAAGTACTTGAGTTTTACCTATATTAAATATTTTTTGGTAGAAATAATTTTTTGTTTTATTTACAATTATCACATCTATAAAAACAAAATATTCATAAGTATAGGTCCCTTTTCTTATACTGAGTGTATAACACATATTTCATAATGATATAATATTTATTATTACAATCTACTTTTACACTAGATAATAATAATATATGTTGGTATACATAATGATACAAAATGAGAGACTCAAACACGAGTAGGTCACTAAAGCTCAATGATTATACAATGGAGGGAACTGGACTTTAAATTAGTAATAGGTCCAATTATTTTTTAGTGGGCAAACTAGGTTCCAACATTTATTTTTCCTAAATAAGTGCTTTACAAGTGTAGGTACTAAAGTTATTGAGTTGTTTCTTTTATAGTTATAGAATGAACATCTTTCTTAGGATTAGCTTAGTGTATTAACCGTTTATTTATAACAATCTTCTATCATATCATTAAAAAAGTATACATATAAATTATAGTGATATACAATAAATATGGTTAAATTTCATTTAATATCAAACTAAAATTATATTTAGTTATATCAAATAAATTTATTCTTGCATATATTGTATTTATAGTAATACTTTTTGTATGTCACTATATATATAATATTTCTTGTAGCGTAATATTGTTGATATTAAAATAATTATTTCAAAATTCATATTTAAGAATAATTTCTAATTAGTTGATAATATAAAAATATTTACCCTAATAGTATAACTCAAACTTTAGTTACAAAATGGAACAAACTTACCGTATATAACAATATATGATTAAATAATAATAATGTAAAAAAAAACATTATATAGAGATATTATCCATTCTAATTCTAATTAAATTCTAAGTTTCAACTTAATATACTGTTATTGTAAATATTTTTTTTTTACCATTTCAACCAATTACAAATCACCTTAAATAGAACATTTAAAGTAATTATTAAAAATATTTTTTAATACATCGTGTGGTAGTTCATAATTAGATTATAATTTAAAAATCTTATCTAATTAAATTCTAAAAAAACAAAATATTACTTGACTTCGTTTGGGTTTATATACTTTATTATGGAAGAGAAATAAAAAAACAAAAAAAAAACAAGAGAGATAAAATGTGATATGATAAAATAAAAAAAATATTTGAGAAATGTTGATTAGAATTAACCAAAAAAAAAAATATCAAATAAAAATTTTGCTTTGTGATGCATTTGAGGTGGATGGGGAATAATTATTTTCCTATCTTGATATGTAGCAACAAGTTGGTTTTAATTCAAGCCAAAAAAAATAATACATTGTTCATTATTTTATCCTATGCTTGTAGACATTAATTTAGGTTACCCTACACAATTTAGGTTGGTTTAGCTGTGGTACTTGATAACACATTGAGTTTCTATAGTGTTAATAAGATGGATTAGGGTGGGGAGATTACACATTGCTTGTTGAAAATTTTCTTTTTCTTGCTTTATTTTTTCTCCCCATTTTCCATATTTACCCCATTATTTCTCCCTTGTGTTTTAGCCTTCGCATTTATGTGGGTTATTGGGTGGCTTGTTGGGGCTGTGAGGGGTTTATCTGGTTTTCATGTGCAGATATTTGGTTTGAAAAATGAGATTTGGAGAAGAAAATATATCGAGAAAGTCAGCAGAAATCACTTTCCTTGGCTGTGTGTGGTGGTCATAGAGAAGGAGAGTAAAAAAAATAATAATAATAAATAAATAGGGAGGAAAAAGAGAGGAAAAAAATAATGGAAAAATATTGTCTACCTCATTTAAAGCTCATATATGCACTAGCCTTTTAAAGTTTAGAGTCCACTCATTTAAATAATCAAACTCAAATTTTAAACTTATTTATTTAATCAAACAAGCAAATTTAAACAAGTTATTGATAATTTAAATCCGAATAATTTATGAATATTTTATTTCATTATTACACTTTTATATATGGATAGTTTATTTCATTTACACTTTTATATATGGAGGACATGTTATAATAATTTAATATGATTGTTTATGTATGCGAGTATTAAGAATATTTTGTAAAATTTTACTAATTATAAATGAATTTCTAATGATAGAGATGACTAAATTATAAAAATTAAAATAGAAAATAAGAAAACATAAATACATATATATTTTTAGTTTAGGAACCCCTGCTTAAAGATTTCTAAAAAATTTATGGTTGAAATGATTTATTAAACCTTTATCATCTATAAATATTATTATCCAATCGATCATTAAAAATAAATAAAATTGAGGTAGGGTAGATCTGCATGATAGTCAAAACAAAAATTTGAATTCAACTGATAATGGAATTAATTCTTCATATACATATATAAATTAAAATAATTATCTTAATAACTCGATTTTAAAGCCATACTTCTACTTAGCCATTAAGTATTTCATTAGATGCCATGCGTATTTTTTAATCAAAAGATATAGCGCGTATTTATTTAATGTTAACTAATTTTTTTTATATAGAACTTTTAAAAGGATAAGGACATAATTATAATCCATTAATAGTATTTATTTTTTACATTATTACTCACTAGTGAGATTCAAATATTTCATGTCTCTATGTATTTTATTTAAAAGTAATAAAAAAATTATAAAATATAAATTAAGATAATATAATTAGAAAAATAAAATAATTTTAAACAAAATTAGAAACAAATGATAATTATAAAATAAGAGATAATTATTATTGATAGAATAGATAATTAATTTCTGCATTTTTTTTATCAAAAAAATATATTAATATATTGAGCTGTTGCGTGAAAAGAGAGAGCGTGAGATGTTTATGGTAAATTTTCAAAAAGTGAAAAAAGAAACGAATAAAAAAGTATAAGAAAAGATAATTTATATATAATTAGGATATTATAATTAAAAATGTGTACATTAAAAAATATTCTCTTTATTAAACTAAGTAGAAGAAAGAGACACTTATATTTAATTTTTAAAGGATTTTGAGAAAAGATAATCGTAAAAATTAAAAAGATTAAGTGTATATTTTACTAAATATTTAAAAAACTTATAAATTTTTTTTACCAAAGTAAATTTGTTTTAGCATATGAGTCTATTTTAGAAACTAATAATTTATTTTTATAAACTAATTGAAATAACTTATAAGTTTTTTAACTATTTTTTTCTTTCCTTTTTTATCATCATAAATTTATTTAAAATATTTTTTTTATATTGATCAACTAACTTATTAACTTATATTATCAAACATTTTTAATTCAATAAATTTATAAGTTTTCAATTTTTTAACATGCTTATAAATTTGAACCAATTTATAAACTAATTTTAACACACCTTAAAATTTAAAAATAAGTAATTGTGTTAAGTAGTTTTTTTAATTGTGATGATAACTAATTTTAAAATTATAGTACAATATAAATTTAGAAATAAAAGTGTTTAATAAAATATTGAAGAAAAATAATTAGTAAGTGGCATCTCCGTTATAATAATTAGTAAATGCATAAATTATTATTAGTATTTAATTGGGCAGATAAAGAGAAGAATCACCAGTTTTGACTGAGCGCAGCAAGGTTGTGACTGTGATGTTGCGTTGAGAATTGAAATGGCTTAACACGCTCTCACCCCTTCCGTAGTTGTGGGTCTCTTTCGCTGCTCTCATTCAAAGTTTCAATCTTCAATTGAATTAGCATACTATGTCATTATGATTCACCTTATTCCTTTCTTATGTCAAAAATAAATTATTCCTGATTTTTCTTCTTCTGCTTCACACACACCAGCTGTTTGTTTCTTGGCCTCTTCTATTCTCCTTTTGGTATGCTCATTTTTATGTTTCATCATCATCATTTTTATTGTATGATATAATCAGATGACTTTGCCCTTTGTTTTGTTTGTCCTAGTAGCTGTTTCCTTTGATGGGGTTTGTTTGTTTGTTTTCCACGAAATTCTCTCAACTGGGTCTTCCCATGTGAGTGGCTGGTCATCATGGTTTGATTGGTCTGCTTGTGGTGAAAGTCATGTGAAGTGTGCAAGTGAAATAAGGACTAGTTTTGTAGACACGTTTTTTCTCAAATCGGTTGTTTTTTTTATTTCATTTTTTTGTTGAGTGGGGATTCCACCCTCATTTATTTTTTGCTTGAATGGGCTGTCTTTGGAAAGTGGTGCTCATCTCGTGCATTGTGTCTTTGATGCAGTTTGGTATTTTCAACAAGTTGGTTGGAATGGGATTTGCTTTCTCCTTTGGTTCCTCTTATGACTTTGCTACCCCAACCAAAGAAGTTCAATGGCTGGGGTCTGTCTTTACTGGCATCATCTTCTGTGTAATTGTAAGTGAAAATGTGAAATGTGTTGTTCATCAGTTTGTCAGTGTCTTGTGTGTTGCAACATGCAATTTGCATCTTATAGTTTAGGGAACTATGTCTCTACTCTCTATGGACCAAATTAGGATTTTGGAGCCTTGTGGAGGAGAAGAAATGCATAATATAATTTCAAAACATCATGAGGAAGAAAAAAGGGAGGGAAGGGGGACAAATTAGGGATACGCCTTTTATTGAATTGAACTAAGATGGCTGATAAATCAGATGAAGGACTTAATATATAAATATGAGAGAATTAATATTTGCTAATCATGTATATTATTATCCAAAATGCAGGATCAGTTATGTGATGTGGTATATTCATAATGTAGGAATGACTACTAGTCTTTTGAAACTAATGCTGTCAGGTTGGGTTTAGGATGTAATTTGGGGATTAGGTATCTTCAAAATGATATTATGTATTGTTTAACCTGATTTTTTGTGGTTTTACTGGTTTATGGTGAAGAAGGAATAAAATATTTCTATCCAATAGGAAGAGCTTGTATAATTGTGCATTTTTATGGTGAAGTTATTAGTAAAGGCTTTGTAGATACAGGGTCATGTGGGTTGTTTTGGAACATCCTTGACTGAAATTGCAGTTGTGCTTACTCTGGTTTGGAAAGAAATATTTCTTTTTAAGTGCTCTGCTGGCTTCTTCAGTTCAAATAAATATGGTTCACTCTTATTATTTAATTTAGGCTTAAATATGTTAAATGAGCAAGGTTTGATTTTAATCCCTGTTAAACAGATTTTCATGGATGATGACACCATTCCTTTAACAACAATTCTAGAGGAAAATTTAATGCTTTAATAGTCAGCGAAAGATTTTATGCATAAGTTGTCTTGTCATTGTTGTCAACATAACAATTGAAGATTTTATTTAACATTAGTGTATAATGCCTTTTACTACGTCTGCATAATTTTGCTTTGCACTTTATATTTTGAACTTATGATGTGTGAGAGTTGATTCCTTTATGGCTTTCATATCCAATTGAATTTTCACTTAATAACAATCTGAAAATCCCTTTGAAAGTAATTCTTATTGGCTGTAGAAATGAAATCTTTGTTTTGTAGCTTTAGATCCTAAAGTCTTTACTCTTTAGGTTATTTGAGACTTTTGAGTGTAAATTGAGAATGGAGTCAAAGTTTGAACTTTTCGGTTTATATACATACACAAAGTATCCTTTCATTCCCATTTGTTGATGCTCGTGTTAAGCATACATGTTCAGTTATAGATGAACGGTGAGATAATACTGAAAACCTTATAGTCTTATGTAGGTTACTTTGTTTATCAATTAACAGCTTTGAAAATTGATCCTTTTCTCATTTCCTTCTGGCAGGTTTATAGATTGACTGCTATTTTGAGTTCTGTGTTGTTCACAGGATATGGGAAATTGAGTAATGCACAGAAAATTGAATGGAATAACCGGTAAAACGCCTTTGTATAAAGATTTCCGTTTACATTTACTGTGTCCATAATTGGCTTTTTATGTTAAATTTAAGATATTTTGCCAATGCAGGGGATTCTCAACATTTCACGCTCTGTTTGCATCATTTACGTCATTTTACCTCTTGATATTATCAGATATCTTCAGTAAGGATGCACAAGAAGAGCTTATTGTTAATAGATCGTCTACTTTCTCAAATTCGGTGCTGGGGGTATGTTGAAGATAATATAAGGAAATTTTAACTTGTTTGATTTGATAGAAGTTGGTTTTAAAATTCTTTTACATTCTAACTATATTTGGGCTAAAATGACGGTGATGCATGTGAAGGTATTGATAGAATATACAGACTGAAAAGGTTAATATCATTACTTGTTATTGTACTGTTTTATGTTTATAATTCAATATTCATGTAGTACCATCGTTAGTCTCCTTCAGGTACTACTGAGTACAAAATCAAGCTGAAGCTTAGAATTATTTAGATTGTAGTGCTTTTAAGAAAGAACATGTGTCTTTTCTTGTGTAGAACTCATTTTTATATTGTGTAGCTTTTATGATGAATGCAAGAGGCACAAAAACATTTTCTGGTGTGTGCTGATAGACTCCTGCGTGCAGTTGGTGCACCCCTCAGTTGTGCTCTGAAAATTTGGGAGATAGAAATGTTAAAGCCAATTTTTGTTCCCCATGATCTAATGCACATGCTGGTGGTGCATTCTTAAATCTTAATGTCTTGTTACTCTTATTTTTTATCTTCCCGTTTCTTCTTTTTTCTCTATATCTCTTATCTCTCTTATTCTTATTAGTAAACATTATTGCTAGGCCTTATTAAAACAATGATTGTCTTGTTGGCTTATTTGTGGTTTTGTCTTCTATAATTTCCCCCGCTTTTTTCTTTCTTTCCAGATTTCTATAGGTTATTTTCTGACAGATCTGACAATGATTCTTTGGCATTTTCCAGCTTTAGGGGGTATGGAATATGTAAGTTCAAAAGATATTAAGTTTTCTTGCTATGTTTAATATATTACATAATATCAGACATTGTGTTTTTTTGCACATTGAACTCTGTCTAGGTTTTCTAATTAGGCAGTGTTAAACTAACTTCATTTGCATTTAGGTTTTGCACCATGGGCTGTCCATGTTTTCAATTATCCAAGCTTTGCTAAGTGGTCAAGCACAGATCTACATACTAATGGTTCTTTTCTCTGAGAGCACAACTCCCTTTGTAAATCTAAGATGGTAAATCTGTTGTTCATAGTTTGTCACTTTGACTTCATCATTTGGTGTTCTTTAGTCAACATTGACTTTTTACTTTGATTACATATACAGGCACTTGGACATTGCTGGTCTTAAGGGCTCCAATCTTTACATTTGGAATGGTGTTGCATTGTTCTTCGGGTGGTTGGTACTATATAATATACTTTTGGTCTCAATTCCAATTCCACTATAGTACCTGAATGAATTGCTTATGGTCATATATCATATATGGTTATATTTTGGTGCTTTTTTTCCTAATTTTTTTTTTTTTGGTTCTGGGTGAGTCATATGTTGAGGCAAAAGGAGCAAGTAGTGATGATGACAGAGATAATTGAAAAGGATGATCAAAAGGGTTCTGACTAAATGTATGCTGCATATTGCTTGCCTAAGTCGGAAACCTTTGGGAGATGTTTTTCCTTGTTATTTTTTTTAATATATATATAAATTTTTTTAAACACATTCACAAATAATTTGGGTGGATCCTTTGAGATTTAAAAGGTTCCTTAAAATAATTAAATCAGGTAGGTTAATTATGGTGTCTAAATATGAATATGATGCCTTTTTCATCCCACTAAGAAATTTAGGGCTTATTTGATAGTCAGTTAAGAATAAAAATAGTTAGTAGGACAAGAGTGGGAAGATATGAGTAGGATATGCTCTTATCCTATTTTGAGTTTGGCGCACACTTATAACCTAATAGACAGTAATATTATTAATTATATGCAAATGGCAAAATTTAGCTTTATAGAATGTAGTGGTAGTGGTGGGGTGGAGATAATGGTAGATGGTAGCTATGGTAACAACGGTTTTTTTTTTTTCGGGGGGCAGGGGTGTGTGGAGGGTGGTGGTGGTTGCTTTTGTGGTGAGATGATGACAGCAGGGATGATGGTGGGGATTGTTATAGTGGTGGGGACAATAA